GCCCTGCCGACGCCCTTGCGGGCTCTCCTACAGACCTGACCCCCCAGACATTCCCAATGCATGTCGCGCCGCCGACGATGATGATGTCCGCGCGTTCGCGATGCAGGCTGTGGTCGGTTTTTCACCGGCGCGCGCGGCGAACGCGCGCGAATGGCTTGCTTGGCATTCTGCGGCAGTGATCGCGCTCTCCCAGCACGCGCGCACTGGCCTTCGAATAACTGCGACATGCGTGCGCGGTGGGGCCGCGAGGCCTCGTCCTCCATGGGCATTTGTGAAAGCGCGCGTCTTTCTTTCCTGTTGCCTGAAGCGTCAATGCTGCAATGGAATTTGTTGCGTAATCCTCGGGGGCCCTGATCGTGAAATGCTAGCGAAATCCAAAAAAAACATGTTTCTCCGAATGCGGCGTGCGCGCGCGATCTCGCGCGCGCGTGGATTTGGCGCTTTTTCCCTTGCGCCCCAGAATTTTTATACGCGCTGCATTTCGACGCGGTCGCGCGCGCAATTTCGTTTGACGGGGGCGTTGGAAGGGGGCGGGGGGGCGTCGATGCAGGTCTGGCTGGGTTGGCATGGGACCAACTGCAAAATGAATGATGGGGCAGCATCGCGCGTAAACTGTGCCACCCCAGGAGGGCTCGATCAATCTGGGCGGGGTCTATTTTGTTGGACAGGAGAATCTATGTGTGCATATATACAGATGTTGCACCATCGACGTGGTGCAATCTATGTTGTACATCAAAAGTTGTGCTGCGCATGTCATGTACTATCTGCGGTGCAGTTTGCAATATTGTGCCGCGCGCGACCGCCTCCCATGCTCGTGCCCCCATCCCGCCCTCGAGCCTCCCACCCGAAACTTGGTTTGCAAAACCCTTGCGGCGGTGATTGCGACGGGCGCTCGGCGCTGGCTAGCGCGCGGGCGCGGCCGCGCTGGCGCGCGCAAGCTCGCGCGTGGGGCGACCGGCTTGTTTGGCGCGAGCGACGAAGCCGCGGCGGCGCTGGCCGCCGGGGACTTCTTCGCGCGTTCCGCAGGCCGCGCTGGCGCGCGGCCGCGTCAGTGCGATTTGGCGATTCTGGCGGGCGCGGCATCGGGGCGATGCCGACAACGGCAGACGCGATGATGAAAGTAGCGATGCTGGTGACGATGGTGACAATGCCGAAGACGAGGCCAATGACGGCGCCGATGCTGATCACGCCGATGGCGATGGGGGTGCCCTCGCGTCGGCGGTGAAGGTGCCGGGGAGATTCCGACGCGCGCGCGCGGCTGACGCGCGCGATTGGCCCGCGCGGCATCCTTTTGACAGGGAGTGCCCCCCCCCGCTCCCAGCGCGCTTAATCGCGTTCGGATGATTTTGGCGCGCGCGCGTGAGGCCCGCCCGCTCGGTCGCATGTGATGATCGGGTCGGGCGAAAGGGGGGGATTGGGAAAAGGGGGGTTACGAAATCTGCTGCATGCAGCTGGTTTCGGCCTCACCGAGGGGCCCGTTCCTCGATACATGGCCGCCTCTGGCGCCGGGAGGCGCCGGGAAAATCAGCTACGTGAGCTGATTCTCAACCCCCCCCTTTGCTATCCCCCCCTTTCGCCCGACCCGAGATGAACATGTTGGAAACAATAATGCCATAACGAATTGCGAGCGCGCGCGGACAAACTTGTTTTGAAACTTTTGGTTGCAAAGCCGTCGTTTTCTTTTATGTGTTCGGAGCACTCGATCTTGACATCCGGACGAATCCAATGGTTTTTGAATGACGTCGGCATGCGCGCGCGACGACGCGCGCGCGTCGCGCGTGGGCTTCCTCACATTTGTCGAGATGGCTTCCTCGGCACATTTATAGTACTCGATAAACGACGGCGCGCGCGTCGCATTTGCTGCAAAAGATGGCGAGGCCAGTCGATGCTGGCCTGGCTCGGATGGCATGGGTTCATACAGAAGGCGAGCGGGTCATCCAGAGGGGGTTGAATCTTGCTCGCTAATTTTTACCGAATTTTAGAGTTGTCAACTCCACGAATTTTAGAACTATCAACTCCTCAGAGTTCCCGGGTTTCCTGTACGTGGCTCCACTCATTTTTACGAATTTAGAGTTGTCAGCTCCACTGCTCGCGCAACCGTTCCACCCACCCACCCGCGACTTGGCTTGGACAGTGCACGCGGCGGCGATTTCTAGGAGTGCTTGGCGCGGGCTGCCGCGACGACGTGGCCGAGGCGGCGCCGGCCGCGCGGGACATCCCAATTCGTTTCGCAGGCCGCGCGGGCGCGTGGGCACTTCGGTGCGAGCTGGCAACTCTGGCGGGCGCGGTATCGTGGCGACGTCGGCATCGGCAGACACGAGGATAGTAGTTGCGATGATGGTGGCGGTGATCCCGATGACGACGGCAAGGCCAATGACAGCGCCGATGCTGGTCACGCCCATGACGATGATGGTGCCCACGTGTCCGCGATGAAGGTTTCTTGGGCATTCGGACATGCGCGCGCGGCCGACGCGCGCGAGTGGCCCGTATGGTGTCTTTTGACAGGGATCGTGCCCACCAACCCCCAGCAAACGTGCAAAGACTTCGCGTGATTTCGACACGCGCGCTCGACAGGCCCACGCGGTCCTATGTGAACACATGTTGAAAACCGACGGTGCCCCGCGCGCGTGTTTTTGTTTTCACTGTTTTGAAAAATGCGTTTGCAAAACAGCTTATATCCGTAAGGGTTTCGCCCCCTGCCGCCGGCCCCCTCTTTCGGATAATGGGCAATGCAAGAGCGAAATCATGAGGCCTTGGCGCCGCCGTGAAGCAGCGTCGGGACTTCACGCGAAAACGACGAGTAATCGGCAAGGGAAATTGCGATCCTGATGATATTCTAGAATTCGGTTGCATTTCGAGATTGCTCGCGTATGCTGTGCAAAAAGCTTTTCTATGAAGTAGTACACACGTTACACATCCCATATTTTCTTTTGACCCTGACCCCAGCGACCTGCGTGAGGGGTGCCGCCGAATTTCAAGAAATAAAGCAAATCCCATTGTTTTTTCGACCCTGACCCCAGCGATCCGCGTGAGGGGTGCCGCCGAATTTCAAGAAATATAGCAAATCCCATTGTTTTTTCTACCCTGACCCCGGCTATCTGCGTGAGGGGTGCCGTCGAAATTCAAGAAATGTGGCAAATCCCATAGGTTTTTCGACCCTGACTCCAGCGATCTGCGTGAGGGGTGCCGCCGAATTTCAAGAAATGTGGCAAATCCATGGGTTGTTCGACCCTGATTCCTCCGACTGCGTGAGATGTGTTACCGAATTGTAGAAATGTGGCAAATCACATGAATTTTTCGACCCTGACCTCGGCGATCTGCGTTAGGGGTGCCGCCGAATTTCAAGAAGGGTGGCAAATCACATGAATTTTACAACCCTGACCCCGGCGATCTGCGTGAGGGGTGCCGCCGAATTTCAAGAAATGTGGCAAATCCCATTGTTTTTTTGACTCTGACCCCGGCGATCTGCGTGAGGGGAGCCGCCGAATTTCAGAAATGCGGCAAATCCCATTGGTTTTTCGACCCTGATTCCGCCGATCTGCATGAGATGTGCCACCGAATTTCAGAAATGTGGCAAATCCCATGTGTTTTTGGACCCTGACCCCGGCGATCTGCGTGAGGGGTGTCCATTCCCACCCCAGAAACTCCGAGAACCCTCCCAGGAGACGCTATGTTTGCTGGTTTTCGACCCCCCCCCCCTCGCGCGGTCTTCATTAAGGAACAGTAAGCAGCATAAAGCAATATTGTAACAGTGGAAACTGGAAACTGGAACTGGCGCAGGGAACAGCAATCCCTGGTCCTACAGCCTGGTGGCCCCACGAGGGGGCCGGCAGATTGTATGCTTGCGTAAACCTCCATTTTGAAACCCTTGCGGGCCGTCGAGTTTTTGAGGGATTCCGACATACGCGCGCGACGACGCACGCGTGTTGATAATTTGCTTTGGCAAAGGATTCTTGCAACTCGATGGATTTTGATAAACGGGTGCGCGCGCATGACACGATTGGACATGGATGACGGCGGGGGGGGCGATAGGTTTTGCCGGCATGGTATGAGTTTTTCATGGAAAATGAACGGTAACGACAATTATATATGTAAATTGCAATGTCCCAAGGGGTGTCGATACGTCCGGCTTCGGGAGGATCGTCGAATCGATTGTTTTTTGTAGCGGACGACGGGCGGCGACGAGGCGGCGACGGGGCGGTGACGGCGACGACATTGCCGCCGAACCGCCAGCCGGGCTTAGCCGACGGGCGGCGACCAGGCGCTGACGGGGCGGCGACACCGACGACACAGCCGCCAGACCGCCAACCAGGCCTAGACGACGGGCGGCGACGGGGCGGCGACACCGATAACATAGCCTCCAGGCTGCCAGCCAGGGCCAGACGACGGGCGGCGACGAGGCGGCGACGGGGGGGGCGACGGCGACAACAATGCCGCCAGACCGCCAGCCAGGCCCAGACGACGGGCGGCGACGAGGCGGCGACGGGGCGGCGACGGCGACAGCATAGCCGCCAGACCGCCAGCAGGGCACAGTTCCCTATAAGAGAAGTGGGAACCCCGTAGTGCAAGCCCAGTTTGGGAAGTTTTCGTTTGTTCTCTTATTAATGTTTCTCCCAGAGACTCCCACGTCCAAGTCCGAACCCATTCGCCCGCGCTGTTGCGATGCCAGGCGGTGCGTCGTGCCCATCTCCCCTACCCCAGAATCGTAAGGCACCCTACGGATACTTGCATCGGTCGGGAAGGTCTTGGCCACGGTGAGGCTACAAAACACGCGCTGGAGATAATGCGCAATAAGTTTCCAGTCGTGTATCATCCTCCGATTCCTTCGCAGCCTCCTCCTGCACGTTTGATGCAAGGGGTCACAACAACCCTTCTCAGCATGGTGGCCCTAGTCACTGGAGACCCATGCCCGCTACTCCTCCCTCCTCCGCCTCCTCCCTCCTTCCTCTTTGTTCCCCCACCTCTTGCCTCTGGCTTTCCACCCTCTGCCCCGTCACGAGGCGACCGACCCAGAGGTGCTGAGACAGAGGTCGACGACGCACCCGAATTGGGACATGGGCGCCAAGATCACTGTCGACTCTTCGACAATGATGAACAAGGGCCTGGAGGTGGGAACGGGGAGGAGGAGGAGGAGGAGCCAGGAGGGAGGAGGGAGGAGGAGGAGAAGGAGGAGGAGCAGGAGGAGGGGATGAGGAAAAGGAGGAGGAAGAGGAGGATGAGGAAGAAGAGAGGAGGAGGAGGAGGAGGAGGAGGAGGAGGAGGAGGAGGAGGAGGAGGAGGAGGAAGGAGGGGAGGCGGAGCGGAGGAGGAGGAGGAGGAGGAGGAGGAGGAGGAGGAGGAGGAGGAGGGGATTAGAAAAAGGAGGAGGAAGAGGGGGAGGAGGAGGAGGGGATTAGGAAAAGGAGGAGGAAGAGGAGGAGGAGGAGGAGGGAGGAGGAGGAAGAGGAGGAGGGGCAGCGGGAGTTTGTGCGAAGTTGCAGGAGGAGGAGGGGAGGCGGAGGAGGAGGAGGAGGAGGAGGGGAGGAGGATGAGGAGGAGGAGGAGGAGGAGGAGGAGGAGGAGGAGGAGATGTCGTGGCTCGGTTCGCAGGATCCTCCCGGAGTTCGGCCCCGGCCGCGTGCATCTGCGTTGTGGCTGTTGGTCGTTCTTGCTCCTCATCCTCCTCCCCACCTCCTGACGCCCCTCCCTCGAGGGGTCTCCTGCTCGTTCCTTCTCCTCCTTCCTCCTCCTCCTCCTCCACCTTCTTCCTCCTCATCCTCTTCCTCCTCCACCTTCCCCCCCTCCTCCTCCACCCTCCTCCTCTTCCTCCTCCTCCTCCTCCTACACGGTGCTCCCACCCGTATTATCGAGTAACGCAGTTGCAGCCATACATATATATATATGTATATTCATATATATATATATATATATATATATATAGTATGCAGCCCGGCGATGCAGGGCAGCCAGCTGGAGCCTCGAACTTCGCGTCTCCCAGGGATTCGCTTGCTTGCTCCCCCATCCTAGATCTTCCCTCGATCCCTCGTGGGCGAAAGACATATCCGTAGCCGTTACCTCGCGGGCAGGGCCACTTGGCGGCGACCCCTTGGCGTTCTTTCGCGGATGCCCCGCGCGGAACGTACCCGTGCGACCGGGCATCCGCGGCATCGCGCCCCAGAACCCAAATTGTGTGGGCGCGGACACCCAGACACGCGACGTGTTGATTTTTGTCCCCAACCATATTGTGGTGTTGGGTCTTCGTTTTGAAGAGACTGTCCCCGCGTTCCCTTCCCCCCTCCCTCCTTCCTTCCTCCTCCCTCCTCCTCCCCATCCTCTTTCCTCCCTGCGTTTCACCCACACAGTACAACGATTCGTGGCCCTATGGGGAGCTCCACCGAAGGCCCCAGTGCCACCGCCCGCATGCGTCAGCCACACCGCGCGCCACCGAAGGCCCCAGCGCCACCGCCCGCATGCGTCAGCCACACCCACTTCGGCACATTCCTCACACGTTTCGTGGCCCCATAGGGAGCTCCACCGAAGGCCCCAGTGCCACTGCCCGCATGCGTCAGCCACACCCAGTTCGGCACACCCCTTACACGCTTCGTTGCCCCATAGGGAGCTCCACCGAAGGCCCCAGTGCCACCGCCCGCATGCGTCAGCCACACCCAGTTTGGCACACCCCTCACACGTCTCGTTGCCCCATAGGGAGCTCCACCGAAGGCCCCAGCGCCATCGCCCGCATGCGTCAGCCACACCCACTTTGGCACACCCCTCACACTTTCGTGACCCCATAGGGAGCTCCACCGAAGGCCCCAGTGCCACCGCCCGCATGCGTCAGCCACACCCACTTCGGCACACCCCTCACACGTTTCCTGGCCCCATCGGGAGCTCCACCGAAGGCCCCAGTGCCACCGCCCGCATGCGTCAGCCACACCTCGGCACGCCCCTCACACGTTTCCTGACCTCGGGAGCTCCACCGAAGGCCCTGGTGCCACCGCCCGCATGCGTCAGCCACACCAACTCCGGCACACCCCTCACACGTCTCGTGGCCCATAGGGAGCTCCACCGAAGGCCCCAGTGCCACCGCCCGCATGCGTCAGCCACACCCACTTCGGCACACCCCTCACACGTTTCGTGGCCCCATAGGGAGCTCCACCGAAGGCCCCAGTGCCACCGCCCGCATGCGTCAGCCACACCCACTTCGGCACACCCCTCACACGTTTCGTGGCCCATAGGGAGCTCCACCGAAGGCCCCAGTGCCACCGCCCGCATGCGTCACCCACACCCACTTCGGCACACCCCTACACGTTTCGTGGCCCCATAGGGAGCTCCGCCGAAGGCCCCAGTGCCCGCGCCCGCATGCGTCAGCCACACCCATTCGGCACACCCCTCACACGTTTCGTGGCCCCATAGGGAGCTCCACCGAAGGCCCCAGTGCCCGCGCCCGCATGCGTCAGCCACACCCAGTTCGGCACACCCCTCACACGTTTCGTGGCCCCATAGGGAGCTCCACCGAAGGCCCCAGTGCCCCGCCCGCATGCGTCAGCCACACCCATTTGGCGCACCCCTCACACGCCCAGCTCCACACAGTGCCACCGCCCGCATTCAGCACTTCGGCACACCATCACACGTTTCCTGGCCCCATCGGGAGCTCCACCGAAGGCCCCAGTGCCACCGCCCGCATGCGTCAGCCACACCCACTTCGGCACACCCCTCACACGTCTCGTGGCCCCACAGGGAGCTCCACCGAAGGCCCTTGTGTCACCGCCCGCATGCGTCAGCCACACCCAATTCGGCACACCCCTCACACGTTTCGTGGCCCCATAGGAAGCTCCACCGAAGGCCCCAATGCCACCGCCAGCATGCGTCAGCCACACCCACTTCGGCACACCCCTCACACGTCTCGTTGCCCCATAGGGAGCTCAGCCGAGGGTCCCAGTGCCACTGCCCGCATGCGTCAGCCACACCCACTTCGGCACACCCCTCACGCGTTTCGTGGCCCCGTAGGGAGCTCGTCCGAAGGCCCCAGTGCCACCGCCCGCATGCGTCAGCCACACCCACTTCGGCACACCCCTCACACGTTTCCTGGCCCCATCGGGAGCTCCACCGAAGGCCCCAGTGCCACCGCCCGCATGCGTCAGCCACACCCACTTCGGCACACCCCTCACACGTCTCGTGGCCCCATAGGGAGCTTCACCGAAGGCCCCAGTGCCACCGCCTGCATGCGTCAGCCACACCCAGTTCGGCACACCCCTCACACGTTTGGCTCAAGCCAGTTTGGCTCAAGTCCAGGCATTCCCGCTCAAGGCGTTCCCGCTCAAGGCGTTCCCGCAGAACCATTCTACGTCCAGTATTTCCAGCTTTCCCTTCCCATACACTTATCTTTCGATGGCGCGGTGTCCGGGGACACCAGTTGGAGCAACTCTTTCGCGAGACGTGCGCAGGCGCCTGTTCAGCCCACTCCAGGAGATGGACGGGCTGGATGACCTCGACTCTGCCCCCCCGCCTCGCCCGGAGGTGCACCAGATCTCTTCGCCTACTCCGCCAGAGGTGCCATCTATGTTCTCTTCGCCTACCCCCCCAGAGGCCTCTCAACAGCAGGTGCCATTTACTCCTCCAGAGGCCTTTCAGGCAACAGCACCAGCAGCAGCAGCCTCAGGATCCACAGCGTCAGCCCCTCCGCTCACCATCGAGGGCATCGCGACGCTGATCGACAACAAGTTCCAGCAGCACCTACAGCCACTAATCCGAGGCGTTCGCGCTGTGCAGGCAGACGTGGCCCGGATCGACAACGTTGTGCTGAACATGGGTGCCACGATTGGGCAACGCCTGTCGGGGATTGATGCGGAGCTCAGCGCCCAGAAACTTCAGATCGCGGAGCTCACGGCGAACTTGTCGAAGGTACACTCGAGAACGTCTTCACTTGCGCCGGGCTCCGACAACGCAGGCAGCATGGAGGAGCGTTCCAGACGTGTGGAAATCCAGCTCCAGACCCTCGAAGATGGCAAGAACGACCCTTACGCCCTCACGGCCGTCTTCGGCAACCTAGCCGGATTCACCACCCAGACGGACGCGGAGAAGTGGCTCTCCAAGCAGCTTTGGTACATGAACGCGCCTCTCCCAGGCACTGTTTATTGCAAGGGCGAGTTTTCAGGTATCTTGTGTGGGAAGTTTGAGACCATGGCGGAAAGGAATTGCCGTCTCCAAATGCAGAGCGGCGAAGTTGTCGCATAATGGCAAAACCGTCTGGGCAAAGAATGACCAGCCAATCCAAGTCCGGGCCCCGAGGTCGGTGCTGTTTGGAGCTAAGAAGTTGCTCGTGCAATGGGGGCTCAGTAGAAACAGCCTGTGGGCTGACGAAAGCACCAACACCCTCACCCTGGGCGCGGAGAAGGTTCTCGAGGTGGCGGTGGAGGAGGGCATCATGAAGATCAGTTTTGGGATGGGGTGGGAGGACTATGTGAAGGAGGATAAGGAGTGGAAGGAGCTTGTGCAGACCCAGAAGGACAAACTGCAGCGCGCCCGCACGGACGAGGGCAAGGGCAAGGGAAACGTCGCTAAAGGCGCTTTGCGCCAATGGGGACTTGCACGATATTTCGGTTTTCAGCAGGACGGCCATCAGGCAGAAGGCAATGGAGGTCAAAATGGCCACCGTTATCCTTCTTCATGGCCATGTGTTTCACCATCCATGCGCTGCTCTTCTTCGTCTTTTTCTCCCTCTCCAGCCTGTCATGTGCCAGGCGGGTTTCGTTTGCAGCGAGGGCGCCCAGGACACTTTCGAGACCCTCGTCTGCGAGTTGGCAAAGTAATGCAGAATTGCGTCCTGGAGCGTGGAAAGGGCTCGGCATATCTAGCAACTGCGCGAAACTGGAGCAGATCATAAGTATAATGAAAAATCGTAACATTGCTGTCGTGTGCCTGCAGGAGACGCACGTCCCGGCCGCTCCATATTTCGTCCTCGACGGATTCCTGCTGATCTTATCTGGAGGGCCAGAGGGGGAGCGAGAACATGCCGGAGTGGGATTTCTCATATCGCCCTGGGTCCGGCATGCCATCATGGGGTTCATACAGCACAGCAGCAGATTGGCCAGCGTGAAAATCAGAGTTCCCGGCGGCTCCATGGCAATAATCTCGGCGCGTGCCCCCCAGTCTGGAATCGCATTCGAAGAACGGCACGACTTCTTCGGTGATTTACATTCGTTGACTACGAGCATCAGCGTGCACGGCCCCGTCTACACGTTCGGCGGCCTCAACGCGCGACTCCCGAACGGGAGCCGGCAGGAATCCGATGTTGTTGGCCAGCGTGCTTTGGGCAACTCCGAGGCGACAATTGGCGCCACGAGCAACCAGCACATGTTGATTGAACAATTCACGTCCCTGAATTACATAATCGCGAACACGTTCTTCGACGGGCCCCTGCAAGAGAAGGTAACGTACTTCGACTTGAGCGCTACTCCAATGGACGCTCCGACCCCGGCCAAGTTTGCAGAGTTAGACCACATCTTAGTGCGCAGGCAGTGGCATGACACAGTTACTGACGTCCGACCTGACCGCAGTATTGGATTTGCTTCCCACCACTTCCTGGTGACAGCCGCTCTGAGCATAGATATCCCGAAGACCCCGGCAAAGCAACGGAAGACGACGAGCGATTTGGATTCGCTCAAGCGGCCCCAGGTTCAATGTGACTTTGCCGCCGCCTTTGTGAACGCCGCCGCTCAACACGTCGATGGCGACGCCGGGTTGGACGACCAGGCCGGAGGGCTCGCAACCACTTTCAAGACAGCAGCGGGAGAGTGTCTCGGCCTGCAGAGGATCGTAGATTCGCCGCTTCTGCGGCCGTGCGAACAGCTGTCTCGTCAGGCTTACATTAGATAGAATACGACCGTGGATTCGTACGGCCACGCTGGATTTGATTGCGCTCCGGAACCAGGCGCGCGTCCACAACCAGTACGAGCTGGAGAAAGCGTTGACCAGACAGGTCCGTCAATCATCGCAGCGGAATCGCTTGGCTCGAGGACATGCTCGGCAGTGGCGAATGGAGTAATTCACGGAAGTTCAAGCGCTTGGGCGTGCAACCGCAGGGCCGTCCAAGGAACGCCCAAGGAAAACTGGTGGAGAGCACAGATCGGCCGGACACCCTGGCTGCCTACTACGCCGAAGTGCAGTGGATGCCGAGACCTACGGGCCACCCTCTCCCCAGTGGGCCAGGGCTGGACGAACCGCTGCATGCCTCGTCTGCCAACTTCTCGGCTGCTGAGCTCGACGCCGTCTTGGGGAGATTGAGGGCTGGAAAAGCGGCAGGCGCCGACGACGTGCCCCCGGATTTCTGGAAAGCTCTCCGAGATCAGCCGGACGCATGCGAATTTTTACTGGACATGTGCGACAGTTGCTGGCGGCAAACAGCCATTCCTCAAAGTTGGCGGCATTCTGTTGTAACGGCGATCTTCAAGAAAGGAGATAATCGCCCCCAGAAAACTATAGACCTATTTCACTGCTCTCAGTCGGCTACAAAGTCCTAGCATCGCTCATTCTGGGCCGCGTCGTAAGTAGTGGAGCTGAGAGCCGCCTCCGAAACACGCAGTTCGGCTTCAGGGCCAATCGCAGCTCAACGGGCGCCGTCTTCCTCATGCAGCGGTGCATCCAGAGGGCATGGTCGACCAGGGGCGGGTCGCTGTCCGCGATCCTCTTGGACTGGTCGAAGGCATTCGATCGAGTCGACCCGGCAGCGATGCACGTTGCTCCGGCGCGCTTTGGGTTGCCAGGCCAATACTTAGCGATGATCTCTGCCATGTGCAACAACCGAACGTTCGAGGTGCGGGGTCGACAGGGCTCGTCCGCGGTCTACTCGCAAGGCACGGGCGTTGGCAAGGGTTCCCGCTAAGCCCATGCTGTCCAGCATCGTTCTCACTGTGATAATGGCTGATGTAGTAGACGAGGATGTCCATGCGGCCCTCGGACCGGCGTCGCCGTCTGACATCGACGCCGACATTGGTTTGCGGACGACGCTGCTTTGATATCAGACAACATCCCACGTCTGCGATACGTCTTGGAGAGATCGTTGCATTGAGGCGGCATGTGTGGACGGGAACCGAACTGGTCCAAAACGGTCCACCTGAATATCCGCCACAATGTGGATGTGGCCACGCCACAGGGCGCGCTGATCAAGCCGGTGAACAGCGCCATCTATCTTGGCAGTCTACTGAAGGCAGATGGAACTGCAGGGGTGCCCATCGCGCGCAGGCTCGGCGAAGCCACAGCTACTTTCAAACAGTTGCAAAGTGTATAGAAACACGCGAACATTACGCGTGACAGGAAGACTGAGATGTTCAATGCGTGCGTGGTTTCGAAGTTGATGTACAGTTTGGAGACGCTTTGCCTCCGAAAAGCTGACAAGCTGAAGATCGATGCCTTCCAGGCCCGGTGTCTCCGAAAAATCTACGGCGTGCCACATTCAATGATCTCGCACATACCGAATGCGGACGACGTTCGGCGGCAAGCCCGTCAGCACCGACTGATCATTGTAGTAATGATGCGTTAACGGGTGGTCTACGGGCGGATCGCTTCCCAGCCAGACCAGTCTCCACTACGAGCTGCTGTTTTGACGCCGGGCTCGCCGGTGCCTCTGCGACCGGTTGGCGTTCGAGCGCGGGGGCGACCTCAGCTGACGTGGGCGCCGGTTGTCTGGGAGCAGGCCAAGCTAGCGATGGCCTCTTGTCCGCGTCCCCTCCCGCCCCTTCCGCCCCCTCCTCTTCCGCCTCCCTCCCTCCCCTCGGACGAAGCTTTAACTGCATTGTCCAGGCACTCTCGTTTTGCAGCGCGTAGACAGCCAATCTGGAAAGCAACTGTCAAACAATATGGCCTTTCCATTGACCCCATATTTGCTTAGGTGTAATATACGATTGCCGCTTACCCTGCGCGGCAAGGATTCTTTCCCCTGCTGAGCCGATGTGTCGTGCGACATGGCTTGCGAACGAACGAACGATCGGGAGCTCCACCGAAGGCCCCAGTGCCACCGCCCGCATGCGTCAGCCACACCCAGTTCGGCACACCCCTCACACGTCTCGTGGCCCCATAGGGAGCTCCACCGAAGGCCCCAGTGCCACCGCCCGCATGCGTCAGTCATACCCACTTCGGCACACCCGTCACACGTTTCGTGGCCCCGTGGTGGGCCACATTCGAACCCTACCCTTACCCCCCACGACTTCTGAGGGGGAGGGTGGGGTTCACTTCGCTCGGGAGCTCCCGAGCGAAGTGACCCCCCCCCCCCCTTCAGAAATCGTGGGGGGTAGGGGTAGGGCTCGCGTGTGCCATTCCGCCGACCCCCGCAGGAGTGGGTGCTCACGATCGTGGAAGCTGCATTCTGGGTCAGGAGCCTCCTGGATGAATCTGATGGGTCTCTTTGGATGCCTCTCTGGGACCTCTTGAAGAACTCCTGGTGGCATGTGGGAGGCTCTTGGGGGGGCGGCGGATTCCTCCTTTCTCCTGTTCAACCTCCCGCTGACCTGCCACCTCCTCAGGTGTGCACAGCTTCCCTTCCTGATCTTGCGCTTCGCACGATGGGGCCACGCGGGGGGGGATCCAGGCCCGCCTGGGCACCCGTGGGCAGACAGAGAAAGAAACAGCGCGCTGGGAAAAGGTGGCCAGGAGGGGTCGGATATCGGCTGTTGCGCGCGTGCACCTAGCTTGCTGTGTTTTTCCTCTTATATCTCTCTTATCTCTTTTGTTCTCCCTGTTACTCCATTTCTCACTTCATCCATGCGTCTATGTACATTCGTTGATTGTGCGACACATGTCTTCATATTTGTATAGCAGTATTCCCCGATGTCTTTCTTGTTTTGTTTCTGTCGGTTTCTCATTATCGTGTCATGTACGTCTTCCCTTCTCGTTTACCAAAGTATTATCTATTCCCTTTTGCTTTGTCTGCTGTTTTTTTGTTGTTTCTCTCTCTCTCTCCCTCTCCCCCTCCCCCCTCCCCCTCTCTCTCTTTCTTTCTCTCGCTGCTCCTCCTCTTCTGATACATCCGTCTCATTTCAAGGTGATCTCCTCCCCCTCCCCCTCCTCCCATATACCGGTGTTCCCCCCTTCCTCTCTCTTGGGCGGGTGGGCAGCTCAATCGGATGCCTCACGGTGCGAACATGATTTTGCGTATTTGTCATCCTCCCCTTTGCTGGGAACCCTTGAGGTAATCGAGGCCCATTGGCTGTACGGTGTCGACTACGACAACATCGAGGTGGTGATCCACCCGCAGTCGATCGTTCACAGTGGCATCGAGCTGCACGACACTGCCATTCTCATGCAGGCTTCGTTTGCCTGTTCTTAGCTGCCGTGAGAACTATGAACTCCATTCGCCCTACTGCTCCTCATCCTCCTTCCTGCGCGCAGCTGTGTAGACAAGCGCAAGCAGATGCAATCACAATCACAAGCAAGCACAATCACACAGCTATGACTACCACAAACGAGCACCGTCAGGCGCAATCGCCAGCGCAAGGAACAGCATCAGCGCACAGGGCGCGCGCGCAATCACGAGCGCACGAGCACGAATACCAGCGCAGGCAAGCGCACGCACAGTCGCAAGCGACCTCACGCTCAACGAATCGCTCGCACGACCAAGCACGCGCAGGGCGCAAGCCCCAGGCAAGCACACGCGCACGAGCCACCACAACCGCGAGCCCGAGCAGGCGCGCGCCACGAGCAGCCGCGACCACTCGTGCGCACGGGCACGGACGGGCTCCAGCGCGAGCACGAGCACGGGCGGAGAGGGGGGGGCGCCTTGCCTACATATATATATATATATATATATATATAGAGTGCCGCCGGCACCGGCAAGCCCATCGCGGCATCGCGAAGGCCACGAGCGGCCCGCGGGCAGGTCGACCACGCGAGCCCGCAGGCCAGAGCTCGACGCGTCGGTACCCTCGCCGTCCGGGGGTGAGGATGGCGAGGGGCGCGGTTGGGCGGGCGCAGCTGGGGAGGGAGAGGGTCCAGGAGGAAGGAGGAGGGCCAGGAGCTGCGAGGAGGGAAGAGGGGCGAGAGGGGGATGGAGAAGAAGGCGAAGGGGGAAGGAGATAAGACGAAGGGGGGGAGAAGGATGAGGAGACGAATAGGAGGAGGGGGATGTTGAACAAGTATCCAGAGTGCAGGTGGAGAATGAGGAGGAGATGCAGGAGGAGGGATGTGAGGGAGGATGCGATACGATAAGGATGCTGATGGCGATGATGATGAGGAGGTGTTGTGAGCTTCTGTGCGCGATGAAAGCCACACATTTTTCTGGAGGGTTCTTGTGCGCCAAGGGATTTGGCCGCGGCGGTTGCCCTCCTTTCTGCACGTTCGCTCCGCGCTGGATCTCAAACGTACAGTCGCGGTGGTGGGGCCCTTTCCCCAGATAGTGCTTGCACTTAGCTGTTCTGGTTCGTGTCAGGGAACTGGATGGGTGTGTGCCTGGCTTTCGCCACGTTGCGGGCAACAACGCCTCCTCCTCCTCCTCTGTGTCCTCCTCCTTCTCCATGTCGGAACCGCTGGGCCGCGAGTCTTCACAGGCGACGTGGTCACCCCCTATGCCCTTCCTGCGCAGCTTTTGCTGCTTCCGGGCGGTAGTTCGTTGGCTGGGCGTGTGCAATACACGGGCGGCCTTCGGGAGACCGACCCAGGGCGCCGTACTCTTTCCCCTTCCCCTCCACCTCCCCCTTCCCCCCCCCCTGCCCCCCCCTCCTCGTGGGCGCTCCCGGGCGCCCCGTGCTCGGGGTGTGCGTCGGTCCTTCGACGCGCTGCCGCCGCCCGTGCGGCCCCGTGGGCGCTTCGAGGGCGCACCGGGCTCTAAGCTTTCACAGCGAGGAGGAGGAGGAGGAGGAGGAGGAGGAGGAGGAGGAGGAAGAAGAGGAAGAGGAGGATGAGGAGAAGGAGGAGAAGGAGGAGGAGAAGGGCGAAGACGAGGAGGAGGAGGAGGAGGAGGAGGTCGAGGAGGAGGAGGAGGAGGAACGTTGTCTTTCACTTAGTTTACACCACATAATTTCCACCCGCAGTATCTAGACGATGTAGCTTCCACTACGCAGCTTACACCACATACTTAGCTTACATCGCACAGCTTACTCCGGACACATCTATACACATATATATATATATATAGAGATATACATACGTATATATGTATATAAATAAACACAGTTTGCACCACATGAGCTTGCACATCACATTCTTCACTTACGTAGCTCACAGCGCCTACCTTGCTTACACAACATACTTCACCGCATCGTTTTCACCTCCATATCTCACACCGCCTAGCCCACACGACATAGCTCACACCATATAGCTTGCACCGCACAGTTTGCACCTCCACAGCTCACACCGCCGAGCTTAATCTACGCAGCGCGCACCACATAGCTGACACCTCCACAGTGCAATAACAAATCGTTTGGGGCCCACGCTGGTCAGCATCAATATTGAAAATCGCTGAGTTGCGACGTCGTTGAGTCGAGTTTTGCGGTCTGGGTGCGGCAGCGGGCGGGGCCCACAGTGCTCGTTCTCACTCGAGCTGCCTATATGCGCCCCCTCTAGTCAATGCTCCGGGAGGCCCTCGTCCCTGCTCCCTCCTCCGTGATGCTCCCTCTTCCTTGTGCTCATCCCTGCTCATCCCTCCTTTCACTCTGCGTTTTCCGCCTCTTCCTCCTCCCGCTCCTCCTCCTCCTCCTCCTCCTCCTCCTCCTCCTCCCTCCTTTTCCTCCTCCTCTACCCTCCTCCTCCTCCCTCCTCCCTCCTCCTCCTCCTCCTCCTCCTCCTCCTCCTCCTCCTCCTCCTCCTTTTTTTTTCCTCCTCCTCCTTCTCCTCCTCCTCCTTCTCCTCCTCCTCCTCCCTCCTCCTTCCCCCTCCTCCTCCTCCTCCTCCCGCTCCTCCCTTCTCCTCCTCCCTCCTCCCCTCTCCTGCCTCCTCCTCCTCCTCCTCCTCCTCCTCCTCCTCCTCCTCCTCCTCCTCCTCCTCTACCCTCTCCTCCTCCTCCTCCTTCCCAGTTCCCTCCCTCCCGTCCTCCAGTCGTGCTCCCCGCTCCCGACTTCGCCTCCCTCCCTCCCTTCGTCCCCCCCCCTTGCAGGCTGGATGGCCAGACATGCGCTTGCCCATCCTCTACGCACTGCCTCGCCCCCGGCCCGCCCTTGGGGCGCGCCCGGCCGCCTGCCGACTATGGCCGGGCGGAGCGGCCCGAGGAACGAGCCGCGGCAGGAGGAGGAGAAGGAGGGAGGAGGAGGAGGAGGGAGGAGGAGGAGGTGAAGGAGGAGGAGGAGGAAGAGGAGGAGGATAGAGGAGGAGGAGGAAGAGGGAGGAGGAGGAGGAGGAGGAGGAGGAGGAGGAGGAGGGGGAGGACGGTGGAGGAGGAGGCGAAGCAGAACGGCGACGACGATAAGGACGACAATGAGGACGACGACGATAACGACGATAACGATGACGACCACGACGACCACGACGACCACGACTATGACCATGACCTCGACCACGACGACGACGACCACGACGATCACGACGACGACGTCTAAAACAACGACCACGACCACGACCACGCCCACGACGACTACGACCACGAC